GACACAATATATATATATATATATATATATATATATACTTTAAATAGAACTGATGTAAACATCTTAATACTAAAAAATATGGGTGAAGACATATTCGGAAGCTTTCGGTCAACCCATCTTTAGAGAAAAAATCGTTGGCGAAATAATTTCTTTTTTTTTAAAGAACAACCAAATACACTTTAAAGAAATGAATAGGAGAATAAAACTTACTTCATTAAGGTTTACTGTGGAGGAGAATGATTGAAGGTTTAGCCAAAAGGTTCCTAATATATATATATATATATATATATATATATATATATATATATAAAGGGAAGGATTATAGTTGTTTCCAACGAGAGTAAAGTGTATGTTTTAAAGAGAAAAGCGAAGTCGCAAATGTTTTTGTTTATAATATGGATTTTTTTGTAAATATATAATTCATTTTTTATATTTTTACCGGAAAATATATATATATATATATATATATGATTAATGTGAGTAAAAGTTTGTCACTTAGCTGAAGGATGCTACCTTCAGCGTTCCGACTCCAGAGTTTCGTAGACGGACCTGTCCGTCCACTTTTAAGGACGTATCAGCAATTTTTTATTTTTTTTTATTTTTTCCTTTTTATATACATTTAAATTGGTGTAAGTCATCAATACGTGTAGGATGTATAAGAGTATCCGAACAAAAGTGGAAAAACATCTCTAGACAACTAGTTTAACTAGCTTCTGCAGGCGTCCTCAGATCGGAATGAGAGAGAAACTGTGTAAGTGCATTGTGATTTTCAAAGAAGAGCTAATAAATATTATCAGATGCTACGGTCAGAATGCGTTTTTTTACCTCTTATTTTATCTTTCTTTGTCGATAGTCGTTAGCGTCTTATGCCCGTGAAATAAGCCATCAAGTATCTCGTGACTAAAATGATGGGTAACGGAATGTGGTCTTTCCAAATGGGCCATACCCTAAGTCACTTCCCAGCATCAAGGTAGGGGTAATCACTTTTATCTTCATCGGTAGAGTTGTTCTACGCCAGATCACCTCAAGAGGTCAAAAGTGCGTTGCGATAAAGAGGTGAAAATCTGATTTTACGTGTGAAAATGCTCAAAAAAATTTAGTGAAGTCAGGGCTAATAACTAAAACTGAAACTAATTCGACCCAGCGATGGAACTATAAAGCTTTGGACCAAAGAAAATTTCTGAGTTCCAGCTCTCAAAAGTGTAGTCTATAAATAGATTTCTGCATTCTCTGCTCGCTTATACAGCCAGGAGGTTTTTTGCAAAGCCCTAGCTAAAATACTAAAATTTGACCATTCAGAGACTATACAATAAATTTAAACGCGTATTCTAAGAGCAAAATTAAGTGCCAACACATTGGATTGATTCTATTACATGCCTCTTGGGAGCGTTGCCGATCATGGCTCTCCACATTTTCCCGTACTTTGTAGTTCTTAATAAATTATGTCTTTTCACTATCTCTCCTGAACCCTGTTCTGCCAAACATTTACACAAGCCTGTTTTCCTTCTGTCCCTTCTTCCTTCAATATGTCCTGTAAGTGTCGAGGTTTCCAAACACTCTTTCCTCATTATATGCCTCATAAATTCCAACTCTCTTTCTGATGTTAAGTATAGCTCTAATTTTTGTTTCTATTGAATTGGTTACATGTACTGTCCAGTGTATTCTCAGTATCCTTCTGCAGAAACATATTTCTATTGACTCACGTCTTTTCTTATCTGTGAGGAGACTGTCCAGTGTTCACTGCCATATAGGAGGGTCGATACTACATAACATTCGAGTACTTCAATCTTTAGGCGAGAGCAAAATTTTCTGATTGCCTTCAGGCCAGCAGATAGCTTTCAAGCACAAAACAGACTGTCACCACTCGATGTTGACCTCAGTGTCCACTTTTATTTTTACATATATATATATATATATATATAGAGAGAGAGAGAGACACACACACACACACGCACAGACAAAACAAACAGAAGCAAATATAGAAATTATTTTTTACACACACACACACTATATATATATATATATATATATATATATATATATATATATATATATAAAGCAATCGTCAGGCCTGACGATTACGTTATAGGATGAAACAGACTGTCGCCGCGAGATGTTGTACTCGATGTACACTATAATATTTACATACGCTCTATCCCTGATATCGAGACACTCATAGTATAGCTTGAAATTATATTTTATCTTACAAACACACACATACATACATATATATATATATATATATATATATATATATATATATATATATATATATATATATGAATGACAACCTTTTACAGAAAATAGTTACCAGATTCTTGTATGCACCATTCCCGTTAAAGTGATATGCATCCTCACAAAGTGTCCGTCTATTGTAAATAGCCCAATGCCTCCTGCAACTAAAATTATATATATATATATATATATATATATATATATATATATATATATATATATACACATGTATGTCTGTTTGTGTATACAGGCATTCTTATGTGCGAATGCTTCACTCTTAGAAACACACGCACACACGCGTATTCTCGAATATACTAGGAGGGGTTCACGTACCTACATTCTTTTTATTTGTAAATGTGTTCGTTATTTTACCATAGAAAAGTCGTCTGAATTCAAGTGTAGTTGCCTACTTCGTTATGTAGGAGTGTCGTCTTGTTTTCTCACATATATATATATATATATATATATATATATATATATATATGCATGCATGTATTTATGTATGTATGTGAGTTTGTGCGTGCACACGAGCCTCTCTCCGCCCTAGTCTAGATTTTTTCTTCTTGCTTTAGCTTTTTGCTGAATCAGCAACGCACGACGCGTACATCTGGGTCGAAGGTTTCTCGGCAACCGACCCCACCTAATCACATTCCTCCACACTCCCTCTCTCTCTCTCTTTCTCTGTCTCCTTCTCTCTCTCCCCTTCTCTCTCTCTTCCTCTCTCTCCCCATCTCTCTCTCTCTCGCAGACCAGCCAACTTTACTTCCCATTGGCACTTGGCGTACAATAATGACGATATGGGGCGACGAGGAACATAGCAGACGCTCACACACAAACATTGCTTCGCACTTCCCTCCTCCTGACCTTCCATTTTACTCTCTCTCTCTCTCTCTCTCTCTCTCTCTCTCTCTCTCTCTCTCTCTCTCTTTCACACACACACACACACACACGCACATAAACACACTCTCTAATTATCTATGTATCGGTCTGTCTTTTTTATATTTTTTTTACAATAGCCATCTATACTGAAACAAATTTGACATTGGAACTATCGCCCATATCAACACCTTAATCATATTTTTTTTATTTGAATTTTTTTACTACAACTTTCGTCTTCTTTTTTTCATATCCATTAGCGTTTTCTTTTTATCATTATCTTTATTATTCTAATACATTCCAAGAATTTTGGTTGGCACAGTTTAAGATCGAGTACCACTTAAAGCCTCCTCTCAGAGTTCCAACATACTTCACAAGAATTTTACTGTATTTCACAAAACCGTGAAAATCAACGTTATACGAATGGTTATTAAAAATTCTCCTACCGACCCAACTCCCCAAATCTGAACAAATGACCAAACATCAGGATTTCTTTCATTATCCCTTCTTGGTTGAACAAATATATATATATACATATATATATATATATATGTGTGTGTATATATATATATATATATATATTCAAACCTAGAAAGCCAGACAAACCTACCAAGGTTTCACCTAAGCGGATTGTCAGGGAAAGCTGGCTCCGAAGGTTTTCCGAGACGAGTGTAGTTACCTATATATATATATATATATATATATATATATATATATATATATATATACAAATGAGAGAAAAGAAGAGAGGGAGTAAAATTCCACTGTTCGTAGCATTTATTTTTTTAAAGAAAAAGTGCTCAATACAAAGTAGAGCAATATATTATTGTTATTTTTATTATAAGAGATTATAATTAAAAAACATTTTGAAATCGCTACACAAAAGCTTTCATGTTTCAATACTTTGATTGTACTTCTTCAGGCCATGGAGAGTAACTGATGATTAAATCATTTTTAAGAAAATTTAAAACCAAATTGTTACCTCTTTTCCGAAAGTTAAAGTCGGGGGACATACGGTTTGAATTCAAAATAGACTTGTGGGTATGTCTTGATTAACCAATTAAATGTCAGATCTACGCTAAATAGAAAAGTAAGCTCAAGAGTGGAGGTGGGTGAGTTATTTTTCATGCCATGATAAACCGAAACATAGACAGTCCATCGTGTCAGGCATTCTTGGTCTGTCCATCGGCATTAATCAATACTAACAGAAAGTGAGAGGCTTCCTTCCTTAAGTTCTCGTGCCTCGCTTATGTCGCTACCTATTTCCTACCCGGAGACAATACCCGACACATGAACTGACTACCCTCTAAGATACCAAATGTTACGCTGGCCGGCAAATCATCTAAAACAGATTGGCAGCAAACAATATTTAATACGTTTAGCCAATGGGGTGCACCTACTTCGAATCGAATTCGCTGTTGTAAAATAGGTCTACGGGACAAGCTTGCTAACCATTAGTCCACGAGAGGATATTCGATCTGTGTTTTATTAAAATCAGTTAATAATATCAGAAGATATCAATTTCTGATAAAGAATTTCGAACTCATTTCAGTCACAATGGTCTGTAAATCTACACAGCTTGTCCCAAATTAACCTTGCATGAAACAATAATAAAAACTGGTAAAAATCCAAAAAAATGAACCCGTAAAAATCGGTACGTTAAAAGAACAATTTTTCTCCTGACACAACGATTACTGTATACTCCCTAGGTAATTTTATTGTTTTAAAAAGTATTATTAGAATTTTACTAAAACCAAAACACATGAAAATGGATTTTTTTTTTCTCGAGAATCCCCAACAAAAATGTTAAACGCTATTTATTTATTATTCGTTTATTTACAAGAATCATTTTATATTTGCAGTACTATAAAATATGTGAACCAATTACAATGCAATAATTACTATTTACCATATTATAAAGATTGATTGATTTGTTTTCTACGGTTTATCAACCCTTTGCAGGTTATTTAAAGCCAGAAAATATTTTTACGGTGTAAGAATTGTGTGCAAATAATAATGATTTATTAATACAAGTCTTACTAATTAACTCATAACTCGGAGGAAGAAGAGGGTGTCTGCGTGCAAATGATTCTAACGAACCCAACTGGAATTGGAACTCCGCTCTCCGATTAACAATTACGAACCATTATCCATTAGCTTATATCACCTGGTATTCCCACGCAGTTACCCATCTAGATAATGACCAGTTTCGACCAGTTTCAGTTAACTTCGGTGATAGTACGGGAATCGGTGTTTCAACGTGATATGACCTTAAGCCATATTATAAAGAAATGCCAATTTATTTTTATTTATAATGGCTATAAATTATGAAACAAGAAAAGTACTTTGACCGCATGAATTTAAGCATAGCATTAGATTAGTAACTACGTATCTTACCGTTGAAATTGATAGAGGCAACCGTAAGTTCTATTCTAATAGTTTCTTCTCTAGCACTTTTCGCTTGTGGAACTCTCTTCCGACTTACTGTCGATTACGATCTTCAAATATTTAAACGCAACGTCAATTGTCATCTTCTGTCTTTTTTTTTTTTTACTCTCTTGTTTTATTGTCCTTTCTCTGCAACAACTTTTTCTCAGTTTCTTTCCATCTCAATAACCCGTTGCGTCCTAGTGGCTTTATCGCCTTGCTCGGGGTGAAATGGGTTTTAAAAAAAGAGGTAGGACGATCAACGAACGAATGTTTAAAAAGTAAATAAGTTACCATTCTTTTGCCATTAAGACGTAAAGCGGTTTTTAATGTGTAAGCTTTTAGCTTCCACTCCTTCAGATCCTTCTGTCACAGCGGTCTTCTTTTTGTCAGCGCAAATATATATTCCGAGTCGTATCGTCCTTCAAGTTGGTCTGATCATTTGTCGTTCACAGTTGTCTATCAATCAATCAGAAAATAGACGTATTTTAAGGTACGAATGAAAAAATACATTTTTACATTAGGTACTTTCATATATAACAATTTTTCTACTCACCATCTGAATCCATCTTGACCTCCTCGACACATAAATACATACTTACATATGAATATATTGCTTAAAATTGTGTATATTTATTAGGGAAGAGTAGTCAATATTAGAAAGATAATATTTATAGTGGTACAATATATTTCTAATTATTTTTAATTACTTCATACCAAATCAGTCAGTGATAGACGCTTAGGCGATCATGTATCTTTCGATACATGACTGACGAGACAGATTTTTTTTCTCGCAGTAGATTGACATTTCTTTCTGCGGTAGACCAGTTGCCATCCAAGGCTATAGAACCCGGTCTATAGTGCTATTTACCCATAGCTGGGAGAAGAGGAGGGTTCATACCTTTCCCAAGGGTATTAGCACGTAAGTGAATGTAATGGATTCGACTGGAAAGTCATCAGTTAGTTATGTGTCGTGCGTTATACACGCTTGGGCGATCATGTATCTTTTGATACATGACTGATGAGGCAGATTTTTTTCTCACAATAGGTTGCCATTTCTTTCTGCAGTAAACTAGTTGCCATCAAAGGCTATAGAACCCGGTCTGTTCCTCAATCCGGGCCGCTACCCTTTACTCCACCGTGCCTCCTCATCCCAAGCAAAGTCGATAATGCCACCAAAATGTAAAAGTATGCAAAGAATGAAAGATATTATTGAGAAAACAGGACAACGACAGAACAGGGGTCAAAGAGACAGAAAGATCAAAATTGTCGTTGGATTTACATTTTTAACGATCGTACATGACAGTAAAGCAGGAGAAAATTCCACAAACGAGAAGTGCGAAAGAAGATGATGAACGTTCACCTTCAGTCACTGATGATGACTAAATCAAGACGCGGATTAAAAAATATTCGATACACAACACACAACAGGTCAAACGGCACGAGACATCGCTAAATTGCTCCACATGTCTCATGTGAGCGTTGTTCGTCCTTTGAAAACACTTGCAGAAGAGTTATCTTCCATCAGGACAAAGCCAACCCTCAGGTCTCTCGGTAAAAAAATCTTGCAAAAATTACGAGAGAAGAAACTGTTAGCATAGAACTTACGGTTACATCTAGCCATTTAAACTGTGAAATGATGAGGCCTAACTGTCAATCTAGTACTGCACTTAAGTTTGTAAATCTACGTACGAAATAGGAAAGCACATGAGAACATTTACCATAAAGATATTTATAGAAAATGCAACATTACGAAGGTGAGATAGCGATCGAAAACCGAGATGTGATGATCAGGGACCAATAATTCTGTAGAGTCTCCCTTTGGATTTTATCAAGAATCTTTAAATATATAACTTCTGCATCAGACCAGACATGGCAGCAATATTCGAAGCATGGACGAATAGCGGACTTATAAATATGTAAGATAGATTCTGGTGAGAAAAATAAATGTCTAGTACGACACAGTGAACCAACTTTCCTAGCAGCAGACCTAGCAACTGATTCAATATTATATTTCCACTTCATGTCAGCGGAAAACGTTAGCCTGAGAATGCGCAAGAAGTCACACTACCAGAGGTTAGCATCGGCCATACTGGTGGAATTCAAAAAAAAAAAGTTCCGCTTATGTAATATAAGGGGAGCAGTTTCGTCTTCAAATCAACAGGCTATTTCCTGCTCCATTGAGTGCAATATTTGACTCACCCTCTATTTTCGAAAATCAAGAATTATGGAAGCGAGGGAATGCTATTTAGTCTTTTTATTTGGTATGCTCGTGGCACTTCCCGCGCGCGGGAACAACTGCAATACATTATTAGAAAGCAACATGCAAAGATCAAACTCACTTCACCAGTAATGATTTACCGGCAAGTCGCTGATGGTATTTACAAAACCTGGTTGAGTAGGAAAGCTCTACAAAGTGAGGGTTTGCGAAAGCCGGCCAATATTTAATTATATAGACGCACGAATCGCTCTCTTCACAAAACTAAAATGATTTGCCCGCTTTTGCCGGTCAATGCCGCATTCAATTTCCGATCTATTTCCTTAACAAGCGAAAATAAATCCCCTATCATGGATTCCTTCTTCAACATGGGGGAGACATTTACAATTTCCATGTGATCATCAAATGTAAATTGTAGATAGATAGAATGACATACCAACAGATAGATAGATAGATAGATAGATAGATAGATAGATAGATAGATAGATAGATAGATAGGAATTGACTAAGACAGAAAATGAAAGAGAAAGATAGATGTAGTTCTTAGATAGAGGGAGAGTGACATAGACAAACAGACAGACAATCTGACAGTCTGACAGATAAAGCTGCATTAAACGTTTTAAATTCGTGTGTGTTATTTCGGTACATTGGAAGTTATTGTTCCAGATGTGATAAAAACAGATAGATAGAGAGAGTGTCAGAGAGAAAAAGAAAGAAGCTGAGATTGCAATTAATTGAAAGAAAGTAACATGCATATAGCATAACTATATTTTATCATAGATAAGATAAATAGATGACACTTAAGCAAAGATAGATAGATAGATAGATAGATAGATAGATAGATAGATAGATATTATAGAAAACAGATCGATCGATCGATAGATAGATAGATAGATATACATTTAAGAAACGATAGATAGATAGATAGATAGATAGATAGATAGATAGATAGATAGATAGATAGAAAAACATTTAAGAAACCATAGATAGATAGATAGATAGATAGATAGATAGATAGATAGATATTATAGAAAACAGATCGATCGATCGATAGATAGAAAGATAGATATGCATTTAAGAAACGATAGATAGATAGATAGATAGATAGATAGATAGATAGATAGATAGATAGATAGATAGATAGAAAGAAAAACATTTAAGAAACCATAGATAGATAGATAGATAGATAACATTTAAGAAACCATAGATAGATAGATAGATAGATAGATAGATAACATTTAAGAAACTATAGATAGATAGATGGATTCTGTCGTATATACAGATAATGCGTGGTTTCCCATTTTCGTAAATCATTTCACAGTTTGGAAGTCAGAGATCCCTTCTTTAATGTCGACTGCAATCCAAGGCTAAGTGATCAATTTACCCTGCTATTTAACCCATAACCGGGCAATCTAAACTTTTTAATGGCATATCCCTTCAGGACGTAGGCGAACATGGTTCACCCCAGTTTCTTTTCTTTATTATTTTTGAATTGCCCAGAATTATTAAGATCGATAATGGAGTGTCTTAAAAACCATGTCTATTCGACTATTTTGAATTCACTGTATTAACCTGGCTTCAAAACAAAGATATAATGCCCAGTCTACCCTGTTATTTGGGTGGAGAAAATAAATGGATTCATGTTTTTTCCCAAGAGTTTAGTGTGAGACTGAATGCAGGAGATTTTGACGGAACTTGAACTGTTACCTAAACTCGCGCTCATCTTCATCTCATTACCAGACTGAAAGAAAGAAGCTGAGATTGCAAAGAAACATGAATATAGCATAACTATATTTTATCATAGATAGATAGATAGTTAGACAGATAGAGAAACATTTAAGAAAACATAGATAGATAGATAGATAGATAGATAGATAGATAGATAGATAGATAGATAGAAAAGCATTTAAGAAACCATAGATAGATAGATAGATAGATAGATAGATAGATAGATAACATTTAAGAAACCATAGATAGATAGATAGATAGATAGATAGATAGATAGATAGATAACATTTAAGAAACCACAGATAGATAGACAGATATTTAAGAAAACTGATAGATAGATAGATAGATAGATAGATAGATAGATAGATAGATAGATAACATTTAAGAAACCCCAGATAGATAGATAGATAGATAGATAGATAGATAGATAGATAGATAGATAGATAGATAGATTTGTCTTTGTTACAGGAGGCGCTGAATATTCGACCCGATTGCCCTACTATGGTTAAATAGATGCTTTAGAGGAAAGGATTCTTAGTCGAGTCGGGTCGAGAAATTTTTAGCGCCTTCTCGTAGAAAAACGTTCTCATGATTTTTCAATTTCAGGGTCGATCCTTAACCGGAAGTCCTTATTATATTAACTTTTAGCGCACCTGTTCGAGTGCACAATTTAGCAAAAACAAAAAAAAAATGCGGGGAAACAAAATATGCATCTGTTAAGTAGTTGGAGTGGCATAACTTCTAAATTCCTCGACCAAATTTCCACCTCGCATCACGCACAGATTTGGCCCGACTATTTCCTTTCTGATCGCATTTCTATGGACGTTTCCAACACTTACTCCCCCACTTGCCAGGCCCTTGGCAAAACCATGGGAAATTCACGCGTTCCATAAGACAGATGTAAATGTATTTCCGTAGGCCTATCAGTCGTAGGCCCATCAGTCGTGGGCGTTGGCTTTTGAAACACGAAATTCTGAAAACATCAGTTTTATAGTAGGTAGAAAAACCACCACCAAAGAATTGAGCATCGTATTATAATTTTGCTTGTTCCTTCCTTCCTTAGTTTTTTTAGTTAGTTAGTTAGCAGCTAAGATACTCCCTTTTATTATCTCAGATAAACAATAGGCCATTCATTTTGGTTGCGAGGATAGACAAAAATAAAAAAATATATCAAAGGTGCTGTTTGGTTTTAGGAAAAGGAAGGGAAAAGAAAGAAAGAAAGAAAGAAAGAAAGAAAGAAAGAAAGAAAGAAAGAAAGAAAGAAAGGGAAGATAGAGAAAACGATGACTCGTTTTTAACGTCTGCTTTAGTCAAATTAAAAACCTTGATATGTGCCACTTAAATAATGACTTGTATTCATACTTAAGATTGTTAATATAAATTTTAAATCTTAAATATTTATTGATGAAATACAACAATTTCTACGGATATTTTTAAATAAATTTTCACTAATAAGGAGTTCGCTGTGTGCCTTCGAAAGAAAACTTTTTTAGCTGTAGTTAGGATTTTTCAATATTTGATATCTTTTTCCTGCACGAGTTTACATAGCAGCGCCAAATGGACCAGTCAGATAACATTTTATCATTTTACCCGTAGTAATTCCCGCATTGCATCAATAAATATTTAAGCTTTAAGATTTAGCTTAGCAATCATAAATATGAATGCAGGTCATTATTTGATAGGTACAAATGAAAAGTTGACAAGGTTTTTCATTTCACTGAAGCAGACGTTAAAACGAGTGTAATAGCTTCCCCGTCTTCACTTTCTTCCATTCATTTGTTCTCTGCTTCATTCATTCTTTCATTCTTACCTTTTTTTCTTTTTTCTCCCTTTTCCTAAAATCAAACACTATATATACATGCATATCTCTCTCTCTCTATATATATATATATATATATATATATATATATATGGCGTAAGGAATTAATTTTTTTATTTATTAATTCGACGGATTTTTATCTCTTAAACGTTATTTTTAGTGGATACCCATATTTGAGTAGACGCTCCGTTTATTTATTAAACATTATATTTATTTTCGTCTACCGGCCTGAATGTTCGAGAGATTTGTCGTATATTTATTTTCTTCTCAACTGGAGACGTAAGAACCAGATAAGGCATTATGAAATTTTTCCACTGACAATTCTTGTAAAAAAAAAAAAAAAAAAAGATTACATAAAATTCACATAGATAAAGCTCTTCGCAAATACTTTTTGTATTTCTTTAAGACATGGGCTGCCAGGGGTCGCTTCATTGACTATACCAGAACCTTTTCCAGTTCAACATAGTGCACCGACCACAACTTTAATTACTGATGTTTCATGTGACATTTTTGAGATTTTAAAATTATTGTTATTATTATTAACGTTTACTCTTAATTACCAACTTTAATTACAGAAGTTATCAACTGTTAAAGTATATTTTCAATAAAAACTGTTAAAGTATATTTTCAATAAAATCTTTATCATGTTCCATTTTCAATAAAATCTTTATCATGTTCTGCTAGTATCACGATTGGTGATACTAGCAGGTCATTAACATGAACTAGGTTTTAAATTTATCCCAGTTCAAAAAACACTATTTACAGTCAATCACTGACGAATGTTGTAGGAGCAACGAAAAATCAAATCCTTACAAAAGTTCATGCTCAATTTTCATTGTTAATCTAAAATGACGTCAACTTTACATTTCTGTTTGCTTTGGTGCCAAATTCCTGGTATTTTTGAGATTGAAACTTTGCATCGTTCAATGGAGAGTCAGACTTTAATGAGTGCCTTAAAAATGGCTGATGAAAACTTACACAGGATAAGATGTATGAATTTCTTAAAGGAATAAGAGTAGGGACTGCGAGAGAAGGTTTATTTCGATCGTGTTCCAGCTCTTACGACAGTCAAAAAGTGATTTGGCAGATTTCGTCTGGGTGATTTGAACCTAAACGATCAACCACGCTGCGGGTGAACTTCCGACATCGATGAAGACGCTCTGCTTTCCATTGTGGAGAATAAACCGAAGATTTCGACGGAAGAGATTACTAATTGTTTCAAAATCGATATCACAACAACCTGTAGCGATTTAAAGAGACTTGTGTCCGTTTTCAAATTGGACACTTGGCTGCCCCATTCTCTGGCGGAACAGAACAAACTCGATTATGTTCCTGTGGCGATTTCTTTGCTGTTACGCCACGAAAAAAAAAAAGCCGTTCCAGGACAGAATTTTTACAGGTGATAAAAAAATGGATCGTTTACGATAACGTTAGACGTCAACGGAGCTGGGAATAAAGATGTTAATCTGTAGAACCTGTCGGTAAAGGGGGCTTGCATCCAATGAAGGTGTTACTGTCCGTTTGGTGCGATTGCAGACGGATAATACACTTTGAGCTTCTTGCAACCGGCGAAACAATAACTGCAAAGAAATATTACGGCCAACTCACCAATTTGAATGCAACCATTAAAAGTAACGTCCGATTTTGGCAAATTGAAAGGGTCTAGGTTTACACCACAGTAACACAAGACAACATATTGCAAAACAGTCCTTGTAGAAGCTTAAACAGTTTAAATGAGAATCCTTCCAATACACACCGTATTCTTGTGACTTTGCTCCTTCGGATTTTTATTTGTTCCGGCCTCTATAGGACAATTTAAATGACAAAAAAATTGACTTTGTACAGTCAGTAGGACCTCACAATCTTCTTACAAAAAGAAAAAATAACTTTCTACGAAAATGGCATCAGCAAGCTTGTAGAACGATCGGAGACAGTTATTGAAAACAATCGACACTATGTACTTGACTAAGAAATGTTGTTTTGTTTTTGCATATAAAATTTTGTTTTTCATTTTCTTATCGAGCACGAACGTTTGCAATTCTCAAATATATATGAATGAATGAAACTCTCAAGTTGTAAGTTTGTTATTGTTTGGGAATACAGGGATAGATTTATGAGACGCTTGGTGATCCTGACAGATAAAAAGGGCGGTAACTCTATAGAGGTGACAATGCTGACACCAAAACTGGTAATAATTTGCCTGCCAGAGTTATACGAAAATGTTATCTGCGCATTCTGATCGTCAGATAAAAACTGAAAATATCTCTCCCATGTCAAAAGGAAACCATAACAAGATATTTATTGTCACTCGTTAGAAGCAGATCAGAAAACGATTGTCGCAATGGACGATGAACAGAGGCGAAGTCTTTTGTTCTGCGAAGATAATGATAACTGGTTCTCATATATATATATATATATATATATATATATATATATATATAATATATAAATGCTTGCCAGCTCTTGTTGACCATTAAAACTGAATTCGATCCTTGCACTATAACAAGTCACCTTTGTAATATAATGTTATCGTTGTACAAGCCACAAAGATTAGATTAAATCTTTATTCTTAAAAATCATTCTTTGTCTCCGTTCTGTCTTCGTCAGTTAATATCAGCGAATGGATATGTGGCTTCAGGGTTTTTCTCCGAACGTAGATGAGGATATGAGAAACTCAGGTGAGGCGGCTGTATATTTTTACTGCCATGCTTATCTCACGTGTGCACATCCTAAGCGCAACGGAGTCGACCACTTGATTTATATATCGTGGGAAGCCAGATGCGCGGATCTGCACCGATGGCTAGGAGAATACCTTCCACATTCGTGTATACGCTTTTGTTGGGGAAGAGTTATTTCCCACGCTGCCACCTCTTTCCCACGAACAAATAGTTGCAAGCCTATCGCTATTCCCATGGCAAATGTTCAGAATAGCTCTATTCTTTAGTTCCGCTAGTTCAAGCATTTTCAGTAAGGACACGCTATGCTACCTCTGCGCAGTCCAGTCACCCTCATTTCTTCACTGTTCGAAATTAAAGGAAAATCTCTACGCAATTTCCTTTTGCCTACGAACTGTTGCTTTGTTAAACTGACTCCCGTGTGGATGCTTCCATGAACGCTACAGATTTAGCTTTTTCAAGTCAAGATATACCCATAAGCTTCACTTTCTGACACTCCTTCTTTCGTTCATATCCTCCACGTTATTCATCATAACCATTTTATCAGAAAATCGCTACCTCGAGGGGCTCTCGATCTCTGTCTTGGGTGAACATTAGTATAAAGAAAGATTCTGATCTACCTGGCTTCTATGATGCTCTACTGTGATATCAAGTACAAAGTTTATTCTGGTAACATCTGGGGTGACCCAGTATATATTGGGGTCACTATAGACCAGCTCCACTTATGTCCCTTATTGACTTTAAATTCAATTTAGAACAATTTGTTATTTAGTTGCATTCGTTCTTGGTATGACGATAAACTATATCCGGCAGCAAGGCTTCTGATCGGGAAATTGATGTTTTTGAGGAGCGGGGAACCATTTCTTAACCTCTGTTGTTCACAGGTTCACCCTGACCTGATGTCGTACCACTTGTTAGGGTCCCAACTATGAGCAAATAATGAACCCTCAAACAAAAAGCAATAGTACATTTTTATAATAAAATGACCAATAATACATTTTCATAACAAAATGACAATCAAT